TTCTATACTTCTATAGGCTCCGATTTTATTTTTTTGATTTTTTTCACTTTTTCTACAGTTACGTCAGGATTTACTGTCTGCTTACGCTTTGATGCCTTTTTCTTTTTCGTCGGCTTCTCATTCTCTATATCTGTCTCCACTTTAATTAGCTCTACGAGAGCATCAAGCTCTACATTTGCTTCCGGAGCTGTATTCACCTCCTCGTTCTCCTCAAATTTAATGACATTGTTCTGTGAAAGGAATCTATAGTCAGGATAAGGTCGACAAGAATATATTGTATTTGGACTTACCTGTGTCTCGGACTCTTCGAGCAACAATTCGCCCTCGATATATGGCATGGTGGTGCCTATATTAAAATCCTTGATTCGAAACTTAATTTCCTGATCCATAACAATATCATTTCTGGTTTCTTTCTTATTCGTAAATCGTATAGTTGTGTTGAACACTCGGTAGATGATAACGCTGATTTGATGCTTCGATATATGCCGTACAACGCCATGGAGCACCGCACCAGCAACTGGCCTGAACACATAGAAATCGGCATTAATTAGCAAATGCAGAGTAGGATCATCGGCGCGTATAGCTGCCGTTTGACCCAAAACCTTAATGTTCTTGATCCCAAGCACTATTCCATTCACATTGCTGTCGTATATGCCCACTTTAGTGCGAATGAGCAGCTCGTGCAACGCATGCTTAAAGTTACCCATGCCATATGGACCCATGGACAGGTGCAAATCTGTTTTGATGCAGCGTACGCATGATTCCGGGTTGGCGGCATACTGTTGCAGCTCTTTCGTCGTAAATTTGATATATTTCTGGAGTATTTTGGCCATTCTGTTTCATCAATTGCTTGGAGCACTTGCGACCACATGAGTTTCTACTATTGCTCAATTGGCACTATGTCAACCCTAGTACTCCAACTATCGTGCACAGCGTATTCAACTGTAGCTCATCTCTATACAATAATTTTATCGATAGCTCTCCATATCGAAGCATCGTCTTTTTTAGGGGTTGTTATGTTCAAAAACAGGAAATGATCGGGAACGTGGTAGAACAATGCAAATGCTATGTGTATGTTTCTAGATGGAATAAACGAGATTGTCACAGCTGGAACATTCTAATAGGTTGTAGAACAATTACAACAAAAGAAATATATGTATGCGATTTTAATGGATAGCATTCGTTTTATTCGCGAATGGAATTTATTTCTTTAATATTTTCGCTTTCAATATAACATAATAAATAGTTTAATACGAAAACAATACATACTAATTTACAGGTATAGCTCGATATATACATAAATATTTTGTTTTCTTTTTTTTTTACAAAAGAAAAAATTTAAACTTAAGGCAATACCTTATGGCGCGCCTTTTTATTCAAGAAAATTCACTGATTTGAGAAATATAGATTTATATATGTATACCATTCATCCGGTGTTTTCTTTTGCTGATAGATTAGGAACAGACCTCGACCGATCACGAGGCATCAGATTTGCAAATTGATATTAGCAACAACTTACAGCTACGATTACATGCTTAAAATTAACAAGAATGTGAGCTTAGTTCACGTTGAAGTGCGGAAGAGTTTAGTGCCGGCGTTTTGTATTAGATTGATTTCAATAGTCAAACATTTGTGATAACATTCTTATTTCGGTCGGCCAGATTATGAAATTTACCATGCGATCCAAACGGCGTACGCATGCGTCTCGTAAAGGAGCGCAAGCAACGTTGGCCATCCAATGGTTCCGGTGTATTAGAAGTAGCCAGAACAGAGACTACAAAAAATTGTATTATAAATAAAGAAAATATAATATATATAATATAATATATTACCTTTCTGCTCGAGAAGCTTAATTTGTTTCTTTGCCTCCCTCAATTTGTTCATCAGTATCTCGTTCTTACGCTTCTCCACAGTCAGCTCCAGACCAAGCTGCAATTTACTCTTTGAATCCACAGCACTTAGAATTCTATTGTCGAAAAGAAATAAAATTTAGAACATTCTTCTAGTCAAACCTATATTTGGCTAAACTTACGGATGACTGTAAATGGACATGGAACTGGGCCTCTCATTCGGCTCGGGATGCATCATTTGTGCGATGAGTTCATTAAAGTCCTTGCTCAACGCTGGTATGGCCGGCACCTCGCCGTTGCGCAACTTGTGCCACTCGGGTCCGTTCTTTGGCAATGGTCCGCCGCCAGCCACCTCGAAGAGCGTTATGCCCAGCGAGAAGATGTCCGCCTTGAACAGATTGCTGTAGTCCTCCTGCAGTATCTCCTTGGACAGGTAACGGCAATCACCCTCTTCGACGTACGGTTCGTTCACGGACGTCACATGTCCCAAGTCCCCAATTTTGTATGTTACAAGATTTTCAGAGCTTCGAAGTTCCTCGTACACGCTATCCATGCCGTCATCATCCTTGCTGACCTGCTGCTGTGTCTTGTGCGCGGTGGGATTCATGGTGGAGAAGATGTTCTCTGGCTTGATGTCCATGTGCACCAAGTCATTGGAATGTATATAACGCAGGCCCTCGATCACATGCATAAGCAAGATCTTAAGTTCGGATTCGCCTAGACAATGCTCCTGGATTCGCGCATGCAGGCTGCCGCCATCACAAAACTCATTCTGTATCAACATATGATCGTCCTCCGCCCAGGCCGAATAGTAGCGCACCACATTGTCGTGCTTGCCCAGCACCGCATGTGCCCAGACCTCGTTCAAGGCACGCTTTCTGCAAACGTGAAAAGTAGGATATAAATAAATTGACTTCAAAGAGAGATTTTGAGTAACTTACTCGAATGAGCTGCCCGCAACGGGCTTCTTGCTCTTTTTAATGGCATAGATACAACCATCAAGTCGATTCACACACTGAAAGACGACCCCAAACTCGCCCACGCCAATTACGCTGACCTGCATGAACTCGCGCTTGAAACGACTGATGTTTGTGTCGTGCAGAGCCAATCGCTTGGGTGCCTGTTGATGTATCTCGCGCATGCTGTCGAGGCCATTGGCATCCTGTACGCCGTCGTCCTCACCGGGATCACTGAGCAAAAACTTTTGCATGGCGCTCAAATTGAGATTCTCGCGTCCGAACTGAGTGCGACAGCGCTTCTTGTTGTGCGCCAAGAGACCTGTAATAAAGTAATAAACACGATATTTCATCTGATCTACAAATTTTTTATATTCGTTTGTCACTCACTGTCTGGTGTGAAGGGATTCACATTGGCTGTGTCTTGGGGCTGCATCGTTCTGTGGTTGTGCAACGGCAGCGAGCGCGGACGTTCTGTGACTTTGTAGACATCCTCACGTTTGACCGCAGCTGCTGCGGCTGATAGATGATTGCAGTTGGTTGTTGACTTCTGCAATATGGTCTTTGGCGTTGCTGGTGTGTTGAAAAGACGAAGTGCGCGCACTTTTTGGCATGGTGGCGACATGTCGTTGTCGCGCATTACAGCATTTGGTTTCTTTTTGTGTTGCGGACTCTCCTGTCGATCCTTGTCAAAATCGTCGTCGGCGAAGCGCAATTTGCGTGGATTAAATATCAGTGGCGACGGAGAACGCGAACGCATCTCGACGCTAGAGTCGAGTTGCTCAAGCGATGTGTCTTCCGCACTGATGATGCTTGTTTCGTGCTTCGACAAGCGAAAGGCCATGGCCATTGCAATTGCAATTAATTGAATACGTTAATCACACACTTCACCAAATTGCCGAACTAAATTTATTGTTGATTGCGTTTGTAGTTTAATCAAAGTAAGAAAATAAACAAAACAAAAACACAAAACAGTATTAAGTGTAGGAATGCGAAGCGCAATTGATCTTATATCGATATGTGCGTCCATCGATGGCGATTGTGGTCGGTGTCAATTCTTTTGCCTACGCTACAAAATATCGATATTTTATATCGATATAAACAAGCACAGAGTTTCTTTGAGCAATGCCTTTCTGCATTCAAACTATTCTATTATTGATCGCTTTGCAAAATCTTATTAACTGTTTAAAGTTGAGTGATCCAAATAGAATTATTAGCTTAAAAATTATTTGTTCATGAAAATTTTGAAAATAATACAACAAAAATCTTAATTTCAAAAACTTATACATTAATGATTGCTCGTGCGAAAGAGTACAAACAAAGCAGTCTGAGACATTTCGATTGGAAAACAACAGTTGAATGCTTAAAGTTTACAGCAAGAGGTAAACCGCTTCTCTTTTCCAAGGCATTTCAATCACCGGAGGCGGCCAAATTATTATTCACCACACTTCAAGTTGCTGGACTTATTGCCCAGATCTAACTCACTGCAAATATTAACAGCTTCCTGTGTCAACTCAGCTGTATTCGAGGAGAAATCACAAATCATTAAATTGTTGGAAAAACGTTGAGAAAAAAAAACGCAAGTATGCTAAAAGCTTTGTACAACATATATCATTTCCGTTAAAGAGATGCAATCTGGCAGGCAATTCAGTCTTTAATCTTCCTTCCGAAGAATGTCTCCGATATGGAATATAATTTTCAAGGTCTTTGAGTCCATTTCAAAGCGCCTGTAAATCTTTCCCAAATTCGTTTTTTTTTTGGCTTTTGGATTTCCCGCCCGTACGATTTAAAATAAAACGAAGCCAAAATTTTTTTGGCATTTGATTTATTGATTGAATATTAATGTATTGTAGGTTCTATACGCACCTGTTACATACAAGATGCGCATTTCAAAAAATCATACATTATTATTATAATACTTAACTATGACGTAATGTATGAGAAATCTGAATTGTTTTGCAATAATTTTGCTTAATTTGATGAATAATTAAAAACACCTTACAAACTTGAAGTGAGAATATCATTCGAGCATTCTGTCTGCCTGGCATTTAAGGTTAAAAGGGTTTGTTTCGATCAATCTGATAAGTTTATATCATAAAATTGACATGAGGATAGAATTTCAATTGTCGAAATTGTCGATTAATTTTCATATATTCCTACAAATTCAAGTTGCCACTTTAATATAATTACGTGATTTCTCTTTTTAGAATACAAAAACATTCTTAGCCTGATATATGTTTCTATATATGTTTGCATGTATGTATGTATGCATGTTTGTATGTATCTATGAAAAGCAAGATATTTTCATTAATAATGAGGTGAATGACTAGATCGATGATACTAAAACTTTTTCGATCTGTAAATTTGATTTGTTTGTTCAATGAGCATTTCAACGAGCATGAAAATATTTGTTCTACCGGCATTCTCAGTTGAGATACAAAAAATAGAGAGAGTGGGAGTGTAAAAGAGAGAGTATATGCTTAATGCTGGTGTATATTAATCTATAGATTATATTCTAAGCTAAGAATGTGGGCAACTAAAATGATTGACTTCCTGACGAACAGATAGGTAATTTTTAAGTTTTAGGGTGTTTTGTTTTTTTTTTTTTAATTTAGTTTTTTTTTGTGATTTTTTCTTTTAATATTTTTGTGTTTGGTTGAAGGAATGAAAGGAGCAGCAGGTTGAGCCCTATTGTAAATGGCCAAAATCAGGTTGCTGGCAACGCTAGTCCCTGGACATGGAACGCGATACTGACGAATCGCCGCGGCGGCGTGACGGTGAGCCGCGACGCGGCGGTGATGGCGATCGCGAGCCCCGATCTCTGTCGTCGTCATCATCATCGTAACGCCGCTTCACTGGCGGCGGCGAGTCCACCACTCCGCCACCATTCCGATCCTGGTCACTATAACGTGATACCGAACCGTTCTCATCCCGACCATTCTCACGGGAGCGGCCAGAGCGACGGCCACCGGAGCCAGCTGAACGGCTGCGCGAACGAGTTCCCGACTTGGAGCGAGTGCGACGGCGTCTCGATGTGCTGCGAGATCTACTCATAGAGTTGCTTCTGTAATGAAAATTTAAGCCAAAGAATAATTGGAATTACTTTACAACATACTTTTAAATATTTGAGTATAATATAAATATGATTTTCGAGCTAGTGAATATTTATTTCAAAATGCCACTAATAGCCAGATGAAAACATGGAGACCAGATAAAGTATATATAGTCCTGATCAGATCCTCAGATATCATTCATAGCTAAAACAAAACCTTATCAAATTCAATTCCTATCCCAAACAGCTCCACATTTACAAGATTCATATATGAATTTCATAAAATTTATTTCATCTCTTAAGAAACACTAACTAGATACATTTCAGATCGCATGTGAGCCATTGTTTAGCCATGTTTTTTGCCGCCCTTCTTGTGATGCTTGTGACCGTGTTTCTTTTCGCCCTTCTTGCCGTGCTCCTCCTTCTCGTCGTAGCTGTCGCCGTATTTGTGCTCCTTTTTATATTTCTTGTGATCCTCGTCGTGGTGTCCCTTCTTGTAGTGACCCTCCTTCTTTTTGTGGCCTTTCTTCTTGCCGCTTTCGTGCTTCTCGCCCTTCTTCTGCTCGCCATGATCCTCCTCGTGATGCTTGTGCTCCTTGCCGTATTTCTTGTGATGGCCGCCCTTGTGCTCATCGTCGTAGAACTTCTTCTCCTTGTAGTATTCGTCCTTGTTGAATTTCTTATGGTATTCCATCTCTTTGTGACCCTTCTTGTGCTTCTTCTTTTCGTGATGCTTGCCGCCCTTCTTGTGTGCTCCATGCTCATGCTTTTCACCATACTCGTCCTTCTCATCGTAGTGCTTCTTCTTCTTTTCACCCTTGTCACCATGGTGATGCTCATGGTCCTCCTCCTCGTGATGTTTCTTCTCCTCCTCGTCCCACTCCTTGTGCTCCTTGTGGCCATGTTCGCCTTTGTGCTCCTCATCGCCATATTTTTTTTTCTCATGCTTCTCGCCGCCCTCTTCCTCCTCGGAGGAGGCGGCCTCTTTCTTTTTGGCCGCTGCGAATGTCAGCAACAAGCCCAAGACTAACAACACCTTCAACTGGCCCCTCATTCTGTTCAACTGAGCGCTATCTTTCAGCATCTCTGGTGCTTATATATGGAATATCCCAATTGGGCCTCAGACGGTCGGCGCCACCGCAAAATCCACAGACTCGAGTGATGCAAGACATCGTTAGCAGCACCAACGACTGATGTAAATTTTCTGCTTGAACGCGCATTCAAACACTTTTTATGACTAATCGGCTTCTGTTGCTCGTAATCAAACTGATCCGTCACTTACAATGGGCCTTAGAGCTGACAGTCCTTATAAAAATTCAACTAGAGTGGGAGACGAATAATGAATGGATAGATGAATAACCAGACCAATAGACTTATAGATGGGAAGACGAAGATGAGCTATATCAATACAGCTAATTGAGTCCATCGGATCAGTGAAATATACCCTATTAAACTTTATTCTATATATAAACGAAAATATTTTCGATGAAGTCGAAGTCATGTATTATAATTAATTATGGAAACTGTATATCCATTTGAGCTTTAAAAAGACTATATTACAGCAATTTGATTAAGATATCTATATAGATTATGATTGCTGATTATATATTATACTGATATTGCTGATACATATATGTATGAAATTACTTTTATTTTCGTATATTCGATATTTATGTAACTAAATCGATATTTATATGACTAAATCAATTTTAGTTAAATTTGTATTTCACTATAAAGACGTCATTGGAGTAAAAGAAAGACAGTTTGTTGTTCATTTATCATGCGTATTACATTTTTATTGCTAATGTAGGTACACAACAAATAAAAGTGTATTCTTGGCTGTAAAACTATAAGAGTAACTGCTAAAAACTATATATGTACTTAAGCACTATTTCAAAGCACCAGATTTGTTGCTTTCTATTCCTGATGTTTGGATTTCTTCTTCTTCTTTGCAGGCGTTGCTTCTTCAGCTTCTGCTGGAGACGCCTCTGCTGTTGTTTCGGGTGCTTCTTCGCCCTTTGCCTTCTTCTTCTTCTTCTTTTTCTTTTCAGATTTACTTTCTGTCTCATCAGCAGCAGCAGCAGCAGCAACAGGAGTTGCTGGCTCCTCCTCCTCCGCCTGCGGCTCCTGCTTGACGGGTGTTTCAATTTCTGAATGTTTGCGCTTCTTCACATGCAACGTGTTATCCGCCTCCGGCTGATAGGTAAATACCTCGCTATAATGGCAAATGAGTAAAGTGAGCAAAAAACACGAACAAATGCTTTGAGAGTTATTCAGCTCAACAATCTTGGAACAAGTTAAAAACTCAGTCAGACAGCCAAGGTTTTTCTACATTGTGAATTTCAGCAAATTGCGAAACCTTTTGTAATCATCATATAGAGCTTTAATAACGTGGCCAAAACTGATGGCAACAGCTGGGGAATATACTAACCTCTTGGCCTGATATTTCTCGAACTTAGCCTGTGCCTTGCCGGTGCCGGACAGCTTCCGCAGATTGCCTTCCTCTAACAGACGCAATCGCGTCTCCAGCTTGACTTTGTGTGTGGCGCCCAGCTCAAAGGACGCCTCCTCGCCGAATGCATCGACTCGTGTAGCCAGTGACGCCTTCGCCGCCAGAGAACGCGACATCTTGCCTTTATTCTTCTGACTCGCTTGACCCACCAGTTGTGCATGATAGATGAGACCATACTTCGGCGTATCTTTCTTTGTTTTCAGGGCACGGAAGAGCGCCTTCTCAGCGCCCAATATCTGGACCGTGGACGAGGGATGCTTGGCTAGATTGATGAGCGAACCAGCATGCGCAATAAGACGGGCACCAACTGTGTCGCCAACAAGTACCGTCAGATTGGGTGCCATTGCCATCATACGAGCCTTTAGGTAGTCATAGAGATGAATGCGATAGTCATTGATGGAAATGATCTCGTCACACAGACACTGGATGTTAAGCACATCCTCGTCGCTGATCTCAGTGCCCATTGAAATTTCGGCTGCCTCTTTAACCTGCTGCTCCACATCTTCGGGCAGTATGTCAGACAAATCAGCTGTCGCCATATTGTCCCTTGTGCCTACCAGTTTGATTGTCTTGACAAAGGCAATATTGTCGGTTATCAGCTTGCCCAGCTCTGGGAAGTGCCAGCCATACCATTCACGGGCGCGCATCATATAATTGTTAAGCTCTTTGTCCAGGTCATCCAGCAAGCATTGCGCCTGCACAATCATCGTATCAATCTTGTCCGGCGAGAACTTCAGCTTGTAGCGGGAGAGCGAATGGGCCAAACCCAGAGCCATAGCTGTCATCTCTCGCTTAGGCAGGCCACCCAGGAGACTATCCGCCTGCTGGCGTATGCAACGCATCAACTCTTGCACGCCCGTATTGTAGACACATTGAACCGACAGCTTATCTTTGATGGCTGTGCCCAGTTTGGCATCCGCCACCAATAGGGATGCCTGCACATCATCGACAAGCAGCTTTTTCAGTGTCTTCTTTAGTGGCTTGGATACTTTGCCCTCTACGGCTGCAGTGGCCGCAGCAAGCGCTTCTGTGGTGTCATTGAATTTTTCAAAATGCTTCAATTTCAGCAACTTGTTCGCCTTTTCAGGTGTCTCAAATTCCAAGTACAAATTATCGACCTGCTCGAGTTTCTTTTCGTCGAGCAGTTTAAAAATAGCGTAGCCTGCCGGGGTTTCATATAACACAAACATTTTCCACTTTCAATGCATTAATTTATGTTCAAAATTATTTTAGTCGCGCAGCAAACACGAACTTAACCCTCTTTAGTCTAACGCCGCGTGTAAAAGAAAAATCCAAAATGAGGTATGCAAACACGTGCGTCTGCACGCGCCAGTGTTGCTCTTGCCACACATATGTACGATAGCCAGACTACACATACTATCGATAAGTTTCTATTTTCATATAAATAATGCGTGTTGACTAGATTTATGAATTAATTTAACAATGTTCATCTATAAAATGTGTTTATAGTAACCACTTTGCTTTACATAACATATAACTAATTTAGAATTAACATACTTAAGTTATAGTGGCATTGAAAAACATGTTACCACAATTCGGTAAAGCGCGCCTTTTTCCAAATCGAAGTGTGTACGCACTATTTTTTAAATCACCACCATGAAATTCACCATGCTCAAACAATTTTAAATTTGATATGCAGAGTCCATGCATATACATTTGTATGTACGTGTATATACGTATACAATACAAAATTATGAATGAAATTGTCCACTAACCTGCGTCGTTGTCTAGCCTTCCGCTCGCGGCAATGGCGCGCAAAATGACCACGCATGCCGCACTCATAGCACTTATCGTCACTACGACCACCGCCGCCTCGGTCACGTCCTCCTCCAAAGCCACCACCGCCTCCACCACCACCGCTACCACCGCCACCACCACCTGCCCCTGAACGAGCGTATTTTCCTGTGGACAACTCTACACGGGCTCTGCGGCCACACAATGTACGTCCATCCAGGCCACGCACCGCGTCAGCTGCATCTCTGGCACTTTCGAACTCAACAAATGCGAAACCTGGCGGATTTCGTGCAATCCAAACACTGCGCAAACTGCCATAAGCACCAAACACATACTCTAAATCGTTCTTTCGTGCGTTATTGCCCAAATCGCCAACATACACTTTCCGGTCGCTAGGATGCCGCGACATTTTCTAGCTTGGGTTTGTTGGTGGGCGCTGTGAAAATCGCAAGCAGCACAGTGCAGCGCAGAAAAAATCGATTCGAGTGCAAAACTTTCGCGTTTCTTGCCCTTGTCAAAAGCACATTCGGTTAATCAAAATCTTGATTGCTTAACATCACTTTATGTAAATATCTGTGACTTTTTGTTATTTAGGCACTATATTTATTTCGGCACAAAACTTTTTGCCGACTCGCAAAATGGTTGGGTGAGTGAACCAAACACTGTTGTTCACGAAGCGAAGCACTAGTTCAAAAGTTCATTTTTGTGAGGAGCAAAAAAAAAATGTAAACAATAATTGAACTAGAACAGCATTAGTGTGACCATACCTATTATATATAATAGTTTCTAGTGAGGTGAATTTCTTCACTATCGATATTTTAAGGCCGGTCAATGGTTTTGTTTCTTCTTTTAAGATATTTTTAAAGGTATTATCCACTTTAATTTACAATTTATAGCATACAATCTACTTTCCCATTAACAACAATAGATCATTAAAGTTTAAAATGATGTGGTACGTCATAAATGAACGTTTACCACAACAACACAAGTCAGGGCTATAGTATCAGCTTGCAGGCAGTAACTAGTTTCAATGGCCATTTAAAAATCTTAGGACGTTTATCTACTTAAAATTGACGAGAGCGAAAGTTCTTTTTAAATAATGTTTGAGATCTGAAAAACAAAATTCAGCTGCACCCCTGACGCTCAGATTGATAAGTATGTATATAATGCAACCGTGAGTAGCCGATTGCAAGAGATTGCGGTGAATTGTGAATGGTTACCACCATTAAACGTGGCGGTGGCGAGTTTTCTATCATAAGTTAGGTTATATATCGTATGCATCAAATCATACAATTATTTATAAGCTAGTTTTTTAAGGAAAAAACACTTAAATTTAGTGAATTTGCAGTGCGAAATCTTTAAAAAACCACAGACGAACACTTGGCACAAACGGTAAGCATGAATAACACAAATTTAAATTTTACATAACGAATTTAGTGCTTTATAAAAAAGCGAAGCCTATGCCTTCCTTTCCAAAATTAAATGTGCGACAGCAGCAGCTGCCTGGTGTTTAATATAGATTTGGTGTTTGTAATTATGACGCCGCTATGATCATTGAAGCGATTTGTCTTCATCATGAAAATGTTTTTTTGTTTGTGTGTTGCAATAAAGTTTTAACTCTCATTTTCCTAATATAGTGGAAAATTTCATATTTTTATACATACGAAAAATGCTATGTATAACAGCACACTAACACATGCATACGCACACAAGACACATCGGCCATTCGCATACACACACATTAGTACAATACTCACACATCGACACGTGTGTACGCTTGTAAGCGTAATTGCGTATGTATGTATAAAAGATTGCGGTGCAAAATACAAAAATCATGCGAAATTTGAAAATTGCGTAGTAAGAAAATGCACTTATTTATCCAAACTGTGGAAATATTGAATATTGTGTAAATTTTGGGCGATATGCGCCGGTAGAATCAATGCTTCTAATTTGCAAAAGTATTAAATGTAAGAAAAAAAAAAATAGTTCATGTGGCATAGTTTCATTTTACTCGCATTTGTGTCTCTTCAAATCAGTTCTTCAGATTTCTTTGTTGAAGCATTTTTGTCGTCACCGACAAGTCTTCCATTTTGTTTTTTTTTTTTTTACTGCCGCCGCGCCGCTACCGCTACTACAACTGCTCGTGGTGAATTTCTCGCAGTTCATGCAAATTATTGCGTTTGTTTCGAGTTCTTGTAATTAAACATCATTGACGCGTAACAGCGTAAATCTTAAATAGTTTTATTTCGTGTCTATATTGTATGTACATACATATACTATGTATTTGTTCATATGTACATTTTGAGGGCATTGCTTTTTGTATCTTTCCTTTCATTTTACATTCGCTTTCACATCGCACATGGCGTTGCCACATGGTTTTCAAAATATTTCTTTTTTATAGCAAACGTACGCATGTAGCTACAGTCTCGCAAACACGGTTTAAATACATAGTTTCTGCACACTTTTTGACTTATAAAATAATATCGTGAGTGATTTCTTCTTTATATTGACATTATTTTATTAATGTCTGTATGTATGTTTATTGAAGTAGTGGTACATAGTATGGCCTTTTTTTTTTTTTTTTCAAAACAAACCGTGTGGCAATATAGAACAAATGGCGCGCAAATGTGGTGAACCGGCACTGCTTTATGCTTCTCTTTCTGTCAGTCATTCCGTTTTCACCATTTTTACCTTGAGAAAAAAGTTCGTTGTTCTCACAACTATTCGATAGGCTCTTGTGGTGTGTGTGTGTGTGGATGGACGTAGGTGTCTGTGAATGTAAAATGAATGACGCTGTGGCTGTAGCTGGGACATTGCAACGATAACTCTACGTTAGCGTATGTTGTTACACAGCGAAAAGAAAATTTTAAAAGTAAGAGAAAATGCTCGCAGCATTGTGTAAAAAGACAAAACGGCAATGACCAGCGCGCTTTAAAACCACATGATAGCAAGCGGAGCGTTTCAAACGCCGAACAACTTGTGAACGTGTACAAAAAACAAATGGACGGCAAGAGAATACACTATACAAATATGTATATTCATACTTACATGTATGTATATTTAAGTATGTATGAGTACCGGCCGGTTGCCTTCCGCAGCGGTGCTACTCTACCTGCCTTTCATAATTATTTGTGCCTATTTTAGCTGCTTTCTGTACATGCATTTGGTACTATTGTATGTGTTAATGCTTCTATGGCTGTGTGTGTCTATTTTATTGCTGTCATCCGTTCTCTCGTCCAATGTGGCCAGAGTTAGTTAAGATTTACGTTAAACTGTTGGTATTTGTTTTACTGATCTGATTTGCATTTTTTTCTTTACACATAAAAACCACTTCTGCAAATACCGACACATGGACATCGCATCGTTGACATTAATTAGAGAGTTACGTGTAAACGTCGTGGCTTTTGTTTAATTATTTTGAATAATAAAAATATAAAAAAATATATATATATAAACTTTGGCAACTAAAACCAATCCCAAAACACACAAACAACAACAAGAACAACATCAACTAGTGAAAAATTCAAAGTGTAAACAAGAAGCAACAAGCGACAAAACACAAACGGACACCCGACAACATTTTCAAGTCCACAAGTGCAACATAAACAGCAGCAAAATTACGTCAATTATTGAAAATCTACCCGGCGCAATAGCTCACAACCATCAAAACAACATCATGGAAGAAGACGAGAGGGGCAAACTATTTGTTGGCGGCCTGTCCTGGGAGACAACGCAGGAGAATCTGTCTCGGTACTTCTGTCGCTTTGGCGACATTATCGATTGTGTCGTTATGAAGAACAATGAGAGTGGCAGATCACGTGGATTCGGCTTTGTTACCTTCGCCGATCCCGGAAATGTTAACCATGTTCTTCAAAGTGGACCGCATACACTCGATGGACGCACGATTGATCCGAAGCCGTGTAATCCTCGTACACTGCAGAAGCCGAAGAAGGGCGGCGGCTACAAGGTGTTCCTTGGCGGTTTGCCATCGAACGTGACGGAGACCGATCTACGCACGTTCTTTGGCCGGTATGGCAAGGTCACCGAGGTGGTCATCATGTACGATCAGGAGAAGAAGAAATCACGTGGATTTGGTTTCTTATCCTTCGAAGAGGAGGCCTCCGTAGAGCATGTTACCAACGAGCGTTACATCAATCTGAATGGCAAGCAGGTGCGTATTTTTAATTTGTATATACATATATAAATAAAAGTTCAGATTTTACTATGTCGAAAGAAAGATTATAGAAAATAGTAGCGGAGATATTCATGTTGGTTTTATTTCTTACTGTAGTAATGTAGTTCAGTTTAACTTATGATTTATTTTAGAACGTTTGTCTAAAATGTAGCTAAAAAGATATGTATATTAAATATAGGAATGTAAGAAAAAAAAAAAAGAATTTTTAAATATGATTTTGAAAGGCTTAAGTCTAAATTATCAGAAAACTGATATCATGATCACATTACATGTTTTGTCATATGAGAACATTGAAGTTGAATGCATATTGTACGATAACTGAAAAAACAGACTGACAACTGTTTTATAGATTCATTCTAATAAGGAAATATATATCAAATAGCATGACAATGGCGACAATTTGTATAAAGAACAAAGTTATAAATGATGCAGAGCGCAATATACTTAGGTTTTATCTGACGTATTGTGAAAAAATTTGGTCTAAATATGATTTTGTGTTTTGCAGGTGGAAATTAAGAAAGCTGAGCCACGCGATGGTTCCGGTGGGCAGAACTCGAACAACAGCGCTGTGGGTGGTGCCTATGGCAAGATGGGTAACGAGTGCAGCCACTGGGGACCACATCATGCGCCCATTAACATGATGCAAGGCCAGAACGGTCAGATGGGTGGCCCACCATTGAACATGCCGATTGGTGCACCCAACATGATGCCCGGTTATCAAGGCTGGGGTACTTCGCCGCAGCAGCAGGGCTATGGCTATGGCAATAGCGGCCCGGGTTCTTATCAGGGTTGGGGAGCACCACCCGGTCCCCAGGGACCACCACCACAATGGTCGAACTATGCTGGACCCCAGCAGACCCAAGGATACGGCGGCTATGACATGTATAACTCGACTTCGACCGGAGCACCGTCGGGACCAATTAGAGACGGTAGCTGGAGCAGCTGGAATTTGCCACCCAACTCGGCTGGGCCAACAGGCGCACCAGGTGCTGGCGCCAGCGCCGGCACGGACATGTACTCGCGTGCCCAGACATGGGGAGCGGGCGGACCATCGACCACTGGGCCCGTGGGCGGCATGCCACGCACTGGACCCGGCAACTCGGCCTCCAAGTCTGGATCCGAGTACGATTATGGCGGCTATGGCTCTGGCTCCGGCTACGATTACGATTATAGCAATTATGTTAAGCAGGAGGGCGCATCCAACTACGGCGCCGGTCCGCGATCAGCGTACGGCAACGACAGCTCTACACAGCCGCCGTACGCCGCATCGCAGGCCGTCTAAAGAGCCAGCGCCCGCGTGTTGTCTCGTGTCATCCTGCGGCCCCCAAGAGGTGAATGATGAAGATGACAAAAAGATGGTGGTAATTGTAAGCTAAAGCGTCGTCTGTTCGTTTCATATTTTTAAAAGATAATTTTTATTTGAGATCAGTTGTTGAAATTAATTAATGTAACTCTTGTGTACACAAC